TAAAAAACACTTCTGAACGCAAATGCTCATAGACGCGGTATGCAAATGCAGCTAAACAGACGGTTTTTTTTAACCTACGTTTTCCAGCAGTCAGTTTTCATCGATCAGAAGTGTCTCGTGGACATGGGGCCTTAAAGCGAAGCTCTATTTTTTTTTTTTTTGTAAAAATTACAAGTCAGAAGCTAAAAAAAAAAAACTTTAGCTACTGACTTTTAACCACTTGACCTCCAGAAGATTTACCCCCCTTCATGACCAGGCCATTGCATTACTTTAACAGACAATTGTGTGATGATAATGCAATGCTGTACATAAATGAAATGTATTTTATTTTTTCCCACAAATAGCTTTTTTTGTGGTATTTGATCAGCACTGCGGTTTTTTTATCTAAAAATTTTGAAAAAAAAAATGCTATAAAACATATCCAATAAAAAAAGTATTCATAAATTTAGGCCAACATGTATTCTGCTACATATTTTTAGTAAAAAAAAAAAGTGAATATTCATTTGTTTGCAGGAAAAGCTATGGCATCTACAAACTATGGGATATATACTGGAATTTATTCTTATACTAGTAATCAGTGACTTGTAGCGATATTGCAGTGGACTTTTTACAATAACTGACACTTTGTGTGAACCAGTGATACTAATATAGTGACCAGTGCTAGAAATATACACTGACACTGACTGGGAAGGGGGGGTTAAACATCTAGGGCATTCAAAGGGTTAACTGTGTGCCTAGCTATGTGTTTTGTGTACTGTGTTAGGTGCTTTTACTGGGGGAAGTGATGGATCTTGTTCTCTGCTTTGCAGACACAAGATCCATCACTTCCCCCTGTTGGAACGGAGCTCTTGCCTTGTTTACCATTCTGTGTCCCTGCTCAATGATCTGTGAGTGCCGGCGGACATCCATTGCCCTGCATCCACAGATCAGTTTCTGCTGTGAACAATCCCAGCCGAAGTGGCCTTTGGGCGGCACAATTGTGCACCCCCTAGGCAACATCTTAACTGTGGGCTCTACAGCTTGCGGCTTCACAGCCAGGTACATACTGTGCATGCGTGAGGTGTGCTGCGCATTGTGATTGGTCCCGCAGCCTTCTGGGACCTGTGTAATTCCCACACAGGTCCCAGAAAGGGGAGAGGGAATGAAAACTAGGCAATCTGATGGAAAATGGAGCTGGTACCTGTCAAAACCAGGTACTACCCCCCCCCCCCCCCCCAAAAAAAAGGAAAAAAAGATTGCCAAATGTGAAAGAAGAGGGGGAGGAGGAATTAAAGTGGAACTTCCCCTTTTGGATGGAGTTCTGCTTTACAGTGGTTGTAAACCGTAACATACACCCAGTGAAGTGACTATCCTCAGGTGATACAGAGATTAAACAAATCCTCCTACATAAGTTGTATCTCTTTATCTGCAGTCTTCTCTTCTGTACCTCTGCTCAAATTGCTTGATTTAAAAAGCTTGTCTGAGAGTTCAGAAAGCAGAGAGCTCTGACAGCTGGTTGGAGAGGAGGGACAGTCTGTTGGAGATCCTTCCCCTGTCACCATTTGTCTCATGGTGTCAGGAAACATTGTCAGAAGTGATTCATGTTGATAGCAGAGGAACAAAGCAGCAGACAGAAATGACACATCGTGCTCTGGACTGAGTCAAGTCTACACTATAGAGGGATGTGCTTTGTTTGTATTTCATGTCTGAGATTTACAAGCACTGTAAACCACGCGTGTTCAGTGATATGTGTTAAGCCCACCCATTGGCCGTCACACACGTCTTGGATGTTCATAGTAAAGAACTTATAACAGTCATATGTGACAACTAAGACCGTCCGATACCGTGCGCCATAATAATCAGATTCTAGCGCTAACGTTCTAAATGATAAACATTGTTCTAAACTGTACACCATGCGCAGGGTGAGGTAAATACGGGGCTCAGCGCGGGGGAGGATGTGTACGGGCAGACTATCATACAACGCTCATGTGACGGCTATATATTTGCCGCATAAAATGCGTAATGCGCGCACACATAGAAATTGCGGCATTTTCTTGGTGCGTCCATTATTAGTCTCCTCTGATTGGGTGTTGTGGTGTTCTGTAGATCGGGTAGGCTCTGTAAAATGAATGGCACCTCGGTGTGCCACCATAACCCACTCAGGACCACGAAGTGCCATGTCCAGGGTGCTCCTGGGTACACTATGGGGTCACTATGGGGTATGACACCCCACTACACCACACATGGAGATCTGCCCACACACAGCATCACCTGACAGGGACACTGCCCGGGACAGGGCGCTCTGCGGCACACACCTTGGGGGGTGTCCCGGCCTCCACACTTTTCATACCGCCCCCTGTCCTCCCGGATGACCCATCCACATGCAACCCCCGGCCCCTGTGTGTGTACCTCTCCCGCTCCTCCGCGCTCTTCTCCAGCTCCACAGGCGCCATCATCACGTCGCAGTCCGCCGTTGCCGCCATCTTACCGCCGGCTTCGAAGGGAAGGAGAAAGAGAGGCGACTTCCGGGTCCTCCGAACCGAGGCTAGTGCCAGTGCGACCCAGCATTACCAACAAGACGAGGCTGGCAGAGAGCGAACGACCAGGACCGGAAGTTTAGAGCCGGCCATCTTACTAAAGGGCAAAGCCGCATCAAATTTTCCGCAATTTACTGACTGTTTCTATAGTGACGGGATAAAGCCTTAAAGTGGATCTCTAACTAGATTTTTTTTTCTTTGTTTCCATGTTATTTTATATTGAGTAAGAAAGGGGTTGAGCATATGCCTTATTTAAAGTGATACTAAAGTCTTGTTTTTAAAAAATTAAAAACAACTTTATACTTACCTGCTCTGTTCAATGGTTTTGCACAGAGCAGCCCCAATCCCCGACCCATTGCTGGCATTCCTGGCCCCTCCCTCCTGTTGGGTGCCCTTACAGCAAGCAGCTTGCTATGGGGGCAAAAAATGAATGAAAAAAACCCCTGCGCTTAGATGACCCTAATAATAAAAAGCTGCTAGCACCTACTAAGTACCAGTGTAACATAAACCAAAAAAACTATAAAATTGGTGCAGCGCTACTAATAAAATACATACGGAGCAAATAAACCAACATAAGTGAATGCTATGGGGGCACCCGGGACATGGCTCTGCAGGTCCATTCACACACAGGCTCTGCACCCCCTCTCCTGATTGGCTCACTGGCTGTGATTGACAGCAGCAGGATATAAGGGCTCCCACCGCTGACTCAGCCAATCAGGAGTGAGAGTCCCTGGAGAACAAAGGCTCTCATGGACATCACTGGATCAGAATGGGGCTCAGTCAAGTATTAAGGGGGCTGGTATACACAGAAGGTTTTTTTACCTTCATGCATATAATGCGTGAAGGTTAAGAAACCTTGAACCTTTAAAAGAACTTTATCTTGTTGAGGGTATTCCAGTCAATGCATATCACAGCCTCACCATGTTTCACAGTTGTGGTTCTTTAATGGTCTATTAAATGCCCACACTTTTTTAATTGATGCATTTTAAAGCAGTAGTAAGTAACCCAATTAAAAAATGGGTCCTCCATAGGTTTAAGCCATGATGCACTAGTGTGCACCTCATACTAGCACATTATGACACACTTTCCTGCACACGAAGCCTTCCAGCACAGTGCTGTCATGGATCCCCCAGCACTTCCATCTTCACCTAGTCTTCCTTCTGCGTTCACAGGCTCCAGCTGTTTGAATGGCCAGGGCCGCGATGACATCACACACAGGAGCTCCGGCCACGGCACAGTGCTTTGCATTCAACAGCATACTGTGTGCCCTGAATGCAGAGCATCCTTGCGAATGCGTGGGTGACTTCATTGGCTATTGCCGATGTGAATATCTTCTAAACAGTGCACATTTAGGAGATATTCATTGTACTTACAGGTAAGCCTGATTGTAAACTTAAGTGTAGGTACAAGTGAAAAGATGGGAGCTTACTACCACTTTATGCAATCTGGTAAACATTGCTCAGGACATGCTATGTGGTCATAAATATCTACATAGTCTTCTACTCACTACTGCTAACTCCAGGTCACACAGTGCCACTTCCCTGAACTTAGGCAATTTTTTTTTTCCATTTTGGACAGCGTAAGGGAGGGCCATCTTTGTCCCATTGAGGAGATTTACTTTCACTTCCTGTCCCATAGCCAAAACAGAAAGTGACAGGAATTCCTGCAAATGAAGGGATCCCCAGGTCACCAGAACTAGTGTCCCCATTGGAAGATTTCCCCTCTATTACTTTTATGGTTTTGTTTTAATTTCACTTTCAATGATAATGGTAAACAGGACAAAATAGAGAGGGTGAATCTCCCTAATGGGGGCACAGACAGCAATGAAAACTGACAGGGGGTCTAATCCCTCTCCACTCTTTTCAAATACTTGAATACTTCACATGCACAGAGTATAAGCAGGGCCCTAATTCGTCAGCTATCACCATGCTGGCCAAGGGCCCCTCCCACTTTCTTCTTGCATAGGGACCATATAGAGTATGCACATAAGTTTGGGCATACAGGTGTAACAGGAAGCAATTCCACCATTTTAAGTCACCCACATTCTCCTGGCCTGTGGCCCTAATCTAGAGATAGGGAATGTCCACATGTACAGTCTTTAACCGCCTCCCGCCCTAACCTTAAGGTAATGACAGGCGCAAGGCGGTTCTCTCGTTCTGGGAGAACGTCATATGACGTCCTCCCATTCTAACCGCGCATGCACGGCTCAGGGAGCGCGCAGTGCGGCGATCAGTGGTGCACTGTGTCCCTCGGACACAGCAGATCACCGATCAACAGAAAGAGCCAAAGATGTTGGCTCAATCATGTGATCAGCTGTGTCCAATCACAGCTGATCACATGTAAATAGGGAAATACCGGTTATCGGCATTTCTCTCCTCACGAGCTGTCACGCTGACAGCTTGAGAGGAGAGGAGAGCCGCTAATCGGCATTCCTCAGAGGGGACATGTACACTGATCATCAGGGCACTGATGATCAGTGTGCCCTGATGATCTGTGTAGCCCCAGCAGTGCCACCTGTCAGTGTTCATCAGTGTCAGCTGTCAGTGCCCATCAATGCCACCTGCCAGTGCCCATCAGTGCCAAATCAATGCCACATATCAGTGCCTACCAGTGCACATTAATGCCACATATCATTGCCCATCTGAGCTGCCTTTCAGTGTTACCTATCAGTGCCAGTCAGTGCTACCTATCAGTGCCGCCAATCAGTGCCGCCTATCAGTGCCAGTCAGTGCCGCCTATCAGTGCACATCAGTGCCGCCTATTAGTGCCCGTCAGTGCTGCCTATCAGTGGCGCCTAACAGTGCCATTCAGTGCCACCTAACAGTGCCAGTCAGTGCCGCCTATCAGTGCCAGTCAGTGCTACCTATCAGTGCCACATATCAGTGCTGCCTATCAGTGCCATATATGAGTGCTGGCTTTCAGTGCTGCCTGTCAATGCCCATCAGTTCCACCTACCAGTGCCTCCTCATCAGTGCCACCTATCAGTGTCCATCAGTGCAGCCTATAAGTGCCCATCACTGCAGCCTCATTAGCGCACATCAGTGAAGGAAAAAAAAAATCACTTATTTACAAAATTTTATAACAAGAACTAAGGAAAAAAATTTTTTTTCAAAATTTTCAGTGGTTTTTGGTTTGTTTAGCAAAAAATAAAAAACCCAGAGGTGATTAAATACCACCAAAAGAAAGCTGTATCTGTCTCAAAAAAGTGCTAAAAATTTCATATAGGTACAGTGTTGCATGACTGCGCAATTGTCATTCAAAGTGCAACAGTGCTGAAAGCTGGAAATTGGCCTGGGCAGGAAGGGGGTATAAGTGCCCTGTAGGCGAGTGGTTAAAGATTAAGTTCATCTTTTAGACAAAAATAATTAATGCAAATTTTTTTGCAGGTAAAAAAATGTGCATTTATTATTTTTGTCTCTCAGAGCCTGGAAAGCACCAGTGATCAGTAGATCGCTGATGCCATAGAGGCCTGCCAGAAAATCTACTTGCCGTACGGGATGTATGAGCAAGCAAATATTCTGACAGGAAGCTTCAATGAAGTATCACGGTGCTCCACAGCACACTAAATCCATGAAATAAATACCAAATATGGGAAGTAATGTAAGAGTCAACTCCTTCTTCAAAGCTGATAAATCATGGTTTATCCAGTCCACATTTGTCCATCACAGTCAGATGTTTTGCATAAGCTTCCTTCTCCAGAGTTCACTGGCACTGCCAATGGTTGAAACTTCCTTGGTGCTCCAATGGACTTTGGACTTTGGATGTTGCTCCCTTCTCTGAGCTCCTACCTGTGGGTGAAACGATGTGGTACACTGCTGAAACTTGGAGGGTACATCTTAGTAAAAAAGAGATTTCATAAAGTACTTCTTAAAAGATTTGAGTGCTTTTATTCATTTACTTTTCTGTCCCATATCCATAGTGATGTAATAAAAGGACCTCTAAGACCAGTTCACCTGGAAGATTAATGACCTCTTACCTGCCCTTCTTGGAGGACAGATAGGTGGTAAATAAGCCACCCCTTGCTCGCTTCTCCATCTGGGCAATGGGGCTGCTGAAAGCCAGATGCCCATTAACATCCGGCACTGGTACTTTGGAAGGGGGATATCTTTTTTTATGGAACCTCTTTTATAGCACACTCTAAATGCTGAAGGACATGCAAGCTGGTATCAATATAACAGGAAGACTGCATACTCGCTGCTGTCTTGCTCTGGGGATATGTATATATATATATGTGGTGTGCTGGTCTGGATAGCTTTAGGTAAGAAGGAGGGGGAGTGACACTGTTTTTCTTTTTTTAATCTGTATAAAAGAATAAGTAAATAATGTTAATTTAAAAAATATAATCAGAGGTTCAGCACTCTCCCTATACACACACTGCATTTTCAGTAGAAAATTAAATGATTTGACAGTTCATTCAGGCAAATGTTTAAAAACAGTTTGAGTGAATGTCAGATGAATGTGTAGGGAAGATAACATTCACCCTCTTTTTAGATGGGGGGGGAATGTTACAGTTAAAACCATTTCCTATGTTGTCAAATGTCAGGGAATGTAATTTCATTGGGCAAATCTTAGGTGAATTTTCAATAATTTTATTTAAAACATTGGGGAAGATGGTTCACCTAAATATTTGGGCGAATATTGGGTGATATGTCTATTAAATATTTGATAAATGTACACCGCTCAAAAAAATGAAAGGAACACTTTGAAAACACATCAGACCTTAATGGGGAAAAGTCTCCTGCTGGATATCTACAGTATACTGATATGGACTGGGTAATATGTTAGGAACGTCATGGTGCCCTATCATTTGATGGAAATGAAAATTTATCAATCTACAGAGGACTGAAATCAAAGACACCCCGAAAATCAAAGTGAAAAAATGATGCAGCAGGCTAGTCCATTTTGCTGAAATTTTATTGCAGCAACTCAGAATGGTACTCAGTAATTTGTATGGCCCCCATGTGCTTGTATGCATGCCTGGCAACGTCGGGGCATGCTCTTAATGAGATGACAGATGGTGTCCTGGGGTTTTTCCTCCCAGATCTGGGCCAGGGCATCAGTGAGCTCCTGGACAGTCTGAGGTGCAACTTGGAGGCGTCGGATGGACCAAACCATGATATCTTAGAGTATTCTATTGGATTTAGGTCAGGGGAGCGTAGGGGCCATTCAATGGTATTAATTCCTTCATCCTCCAGGAACTGCCTGCATACTCTCGCCACATGAGGCCAGGCATTGTTGTGCACCAGAAGGAACCCACTACACCAGCATAGGGTCTGACAATGGGCCCAAGGATTTCATCCCAATACCTAATGGTAGTCAGGGTGCCCTTGTCTAGCCTGTAGAGGTCTGTGCATCCCTCCATGGATATTCCTTTTCAGACCATCACTGACCCACCACCAAAGTGGTCATGCTGAATGATGTCACAGGCTGCATAACATTCTCACGGCTTCTCCAGACCCTATCACGTCTGTCACATGTGCTCAGGGTGAACCTGCTCTCATCTGTGAAAAGCACACGGTGCCAGTGGCGAACCTGCCAATTCTGGTGTTCAATGGCAAATGCCAATCAAGCTCTATGGTGCCGGGCAGTAAGCACAGGGCCCACTAGAGGATGTCGGGCCCTCAGGCCACCCTCATGAAGTCTGTTTCTGATTGTTTGGTCAGAGATAGTCACACCAGTGGCCTGCTGGAGGTCATTTTGTAGGGCTCTAGCAGTGCTCATCCTGTTCCTCCTTGCACAAAGGAGAAGATACCAGTCCCGCTGATGGGTTAAGGACCTTCTACGCCCCTGCCCAGCTCTCCTAGAGTAACTGCCTGTTTTCTCGAATCTCCTCCCTGCTCTTGAGACTGTGCTGGCAGACACAGCAAACCTTCTGGCAATGGCATGTATTGAAGAGGCACCCTGGAGGAGTTGGATTGCCTGTGCAACCTCTGTAGGGTTCAGGTATCGCCTTATGCTACCAGTAGTGACACCGACCCTAGCCAAATGCAAAACTAGTGAAAAACTGTCAGAAAAGATGAGTAGGAAAAAAAATGTCAGTGGCCTCCACCTGTAAAACCATTCCTGTTCACTGTTGCCCATCTAGTGCACCTGTTGTTAATATCATTAACACTAAAGCAGCTGAAACTGATTAATAACCCCTCTGCTACTTAACTGACCAGATCAATATTCCAGTTTAATTGACTTGATGCTATACTCGGATTAAAAAGTGTTCCTTTAATTTTTTGAGCAGTGTATACTGCTTTGTAAGTATACATAAGTTCAGACACAATGCAAAAAAAAAAAACCACGAGAAATAAAAATAGCATGAAAAGAAAAAAAAAAAAATCACACAATCTAGAGAATAGAGGGAACCTAGGTTTTCTCAGGACAGACTTGCTGATTTTACCTACAATGCCACTTGCTGGAAAAAATAAATATTACAATGCAGCATGGAAATACTGTACATGTTTTTCAGAATTCAGTCCTTTATTCCCCATCTCACACAACGGCGGACATCACACATATGTGCTTTTCTTGTATGTTGTTACGCTTCATGTACGGGGCAGCCTATTCATTTCAAATGCAGTAAAGAAGCTCATGCAACTTGTTTGAGCTTTGAGCGTCTTACTTTTATTTTTAAAATAAAGTCTTACATCTGAATACTAGAACTGTAAGTTGCCAATTCTACATCCCCCAGAAATTTATATTCTGTCAGTCACCTATTCCACTCCCATACTCACTGGGTATTCAATATTTTAATAGGTGTATATAGGGATAAGTTTTGGAAGGAAGGGAAGGAGTGGAGAGAAGGAGAAAGGGGGGGGGGGGGGGGGTGTAAAGGGAGAAAAGGGAGGGAAACAGAGAATAAGGAGAATAAGAAAAAAATGATTAAAGCAGTATTAAACCCAAAAGCAAACATTTATTATAATGCAGCTTACCAATTCTCAGATGTGATGGCTGTATTAGTTTTCTTTTTTTTAGGCTTTCCTTCTATTTTCATCTAGTAACCCAACCACTAAGTCTGTTGTTTTTCAAAAGAACAAACTCTTTTGCAGATGTATCAATTTACAGGGATGAGACAAACCGTTTAACACTGGCAGGGGTGCTTACATTAATCAGCATTTATTAATTCATGTAAAATTTTTAGCCCTAAAGGAAAAAACAACTGTTTGCTATAACTGCTTATAAAGTATTAGCTGGAGTTTGGCTTTAATTAGTTAGTGTATCAAAATCCACTAAAATATCTAGCACTCCCCTCCCTCCAGACTGACAATACTGCTGTCCAAAGGTCTCTGTGCTCCTTCATCTATTGTGGGGGCGCTCTAATACTGGGTGTTAGGGCCAGTCCACACTACATGCATTTTATTTGCTTTTTTTCTGCATCCAAAATGCACAGAAAGTAAGTTATATGGTTATCAATGTCATAGTTCACATCACTGCTTGCAGTTCCAATGTGTTCCAGATGCAGAAAAAAGAGCAGAACAGGCTGCATTTTTCCTGCACAGAGAGCTGTACTGGACAGCGGTAAAACGCATAAAAAAAGCACCGGAATGCACCAAAATGCACAGAAATGCACCAAAAATGCACCAGAATAAAAAGCATGCATGTGGAAACACATCCAGAACGCATCTGGACTGCATTTCTGTAGTGTGAACTGGCCAGATCTCCATGTGAAAGCAGAGGGAAAAAAAAACAGAAAAAAAAAAACAAATGCAACCACCACATGTAATGATTGGTAAGCTGCAATACATTATATTTTTGGTTTTGTGTTTAATACCACTTTAATGTAAGGGGATGTGATACAGGGAAGGTAGTGAAGGGCCAGAGGGGGTGGGCTTAAGGGCACCTTTTAGGGCTCATGTACACGGGACGTTTGGAGAATTCTTCTGAACGATGGAAACTGCTGGAAAACGTAGGTTAAAAAAGGTCAGTATAGTTGCGTTTGCATACCGAGTTTATGCGCATTTGTGTTTAGAAGCGTTTTTAAAAGA